GGCTGACCAAAGCGGAGGATCTTGTAAATAAAGCACGCGAGGAAGTACTTCCTGCGCACCAAACACGTCGTCCATCCAAGCCGTAGACGATAGGGAGTGATGTCCTCGTCTCTCCTTGCCCCAAAGATGTATCTAACCGTCATATTGATGAGACGCTGAATCACAGTAGCAAGCACACCAGACCGATCATCATACACGAGACAGCAGTAGTCGATCAGGGGGAACACCAAAGCCTGAATGAGGTGTTTACGCAGACCCAGAGTGGTACTGGCTCTAAAGAACCGAAGGTGGTACATGACAGAGTGAACCCTCTGCGTCACATACGCCACATGTCCCTTCCAAGAGAGCTTGTTATCCAGAACCACTCCCAAGCTGCGTACGGAAGTATCACATGGAATTGCAGAGCCACCAACGTTGACAGACAAATCAGGCAAGGAATTAACACCGTTAACGAAGACATTAGAGCCAAAACTGATGGCTTTCGTCTTCGCCACATTCAGCTTCAGCCGATTCGCATTAGCCCAGTCTGTCACACGGTCAGCAGCGTTGCTCATGCGACGAGTGGCATCCTCTAACTCCTCACGTGGAAAGGTCAGGTAAATCTGGAGATCATCAGCATATATCAGATGCCGAACTCCAGGCCCACCGACATCATCAATGAACAGGAGGAATAGCAGAGGACCTAGAACAGATCCCTGCGGAACTCCCCTGTTCAAATGACAGAAAGATGAACAGCCACTCGCCCCGCCTAGTGTAGCCTGCGAACGACCACCCAGATATGATGCAAGCCACCGCACTGAAGAAGCTGAGAAGCCTTAGCCTAACAGCTTCCGCAGCAGCAACACATGACAAACGGAATCGAACGCTTTGCTGAAGTCGAATAACAGTAGCATCGTCAGCTGCCGTCTGTCAATACCTGTCCTAATGTCTGTCAGTTTCAATAGCGCCGTCTATGTCCCATTAAATGGACGAAAGCCCGTCTGCAGGGAGGCCAGAATGAAGCGCTCAGCAAGGAAGCCGGAGATTTGCTGGCAAGCAAGTTTCTCCAGCACCTTGAAGAGGAAACAGAGCAAGGCAATCGGCCTGAAGTCATTAGATGACACAGGGTTTTTTACCTTGCCAAGCACAACAATAAGGGACCTCCTCCGCTCAGAGGGAAAGCAGGACCGAGCGAAAGAGATGTTAAAGAACATCACTAGATGAGGTATTAGAATCGGCACGGCAGCCACAACCACCGACCGGGGAACACCATCAGTCCCTTTAGCTTCGGTAGAGAAGTGCCGAACAGCCTTCTGTACCTCATCAGCAGTGACTGGCCTGAAGGAGAAACCCACGGCAGGAGGGATGGCCCCTAGCTCAGCCGAGTCCAAGAACCCATCCAGCGAAGGCTCTGTCTCGTCAAAGGACACTCCAGCAAAGCAACGATTCAAGACATCAGGATCGAAATCGGGTGTTGAGTCATTCCCAGTCACCACACCAAGCCTTTTGAGCTCCTTTCAGATGAGGGAAGGGTCAGAGAGAGGCTCCAGCCTGCGCTGGAAGAAAAGTTGACGTGCCGCCTCAATCTCATGATGAGCACGATCACGAGCTATGCGATAGGTTAAGAGTGCCTGACGAGAGTGAGTACGTTTGTACACACGGTACAGACGATCTCTCTCCGCTACAAGAGCAACGATTCTATCAGTAAACCACGGCTTGCGCTTCGAGGACTTCCTTACCGTCTTGAGCAGGACAGCAGCGTCCATAGCGACGCCAAGATTACCGCCCAGACATGCAGTCATTTCGTCTGGAGACGACAGGCCATCGAACACCGACCAGTCACTCCCAGCAAGCTGACAATAGCACATCAAGATCCAGAGCGGCAAAATCCCTGCAAGTGAAGTCCTTACTCACACATGGGCGAGGCAGGACAGCCTGTATTGTTGCAGTGATAAGATCGTGACCATCCACAAAGGGGGCCTCTGTCTTCCAGTAAGATAGAAGCGTGTCATTATGATCAATCAGGCACAGATCAGGCCAGGAGTCTGAGCCATGAGTATGATGGCTCCGTGCGGCAGAAGGCTCAGAGAAAAATCGGAGCAAAGCGAGTGCACCAGAGCCGCATCAGGGTTGGTCATGGACAGCTGATCGGCATTGAAATCCCCAAGGATGACCTTGGAGCTATAATCCTGAAGAAACCCCGGCAGAGAGGGGATGAAGTCATTACCCTGGAAGAAAGGAGCATGTGGCGACCTATATACCACTGCAACAAAGACTGGAAAGACACCATGACAGGAGATTTCACTGAACAGATACTCGGGGAAACCAGATCTTTTAGTCCACACATGAGAGGAGGATGCGAGAACTGTGACCCTGAAGCATTTATTGATGAACAAAGCTACCCCGCCATCACGCGTATTGCGATCACGTCTGAAGAGCCTATAGCCCTCCAGCAAAACGACATCGTCATCAATAAGAGGGCAAAGTTTAGTCTCTGACATGGCGATAACATGAGATGGAGGACGAGATTCCAAGAAACGCCTGACTCTCTCAATGTGAGCTCTGAGAGAGTTCACATTAAGATGACATACACGCAAACCCTCCAATTCCAGCATGGCTGCCGCCTGACTGTGCTCAAGGTAGGATTGTGTTAGCGAAAGCGGAGCGGGAGACTGAGAAAAAGAAGAGAGAGGAAGAGAAAGATTGGAGACAGGAGATATAACAGAAGCAGAAGAAATTATTGAGGGCCCGCCAAGAAGTTGTTTAATTCAGCCATCGATGAGATTCTGGTTGCAGCATCCTCCTTATTTTTCTTTATAAACACAGCTCCATTTCGAATGAAGGTATGAAAGCCTCTCTCCTTGGCAGCAGTCCTCACAGCGCGTCTGAGATTATGGAGATCTTGCGGGAGGAACTTGTTGATGTTGATGAGTGATGGCTGCAGGGGAAGTGTCGCTCCAGAGGCAGACACAAGCTCAGCTGACAACTGAGACGAATGCAGCTTGCCATGCCTTGCCTTCGAGATCACCAACTCGCGAACGAGTTCATCAGACGAGGCTGTCACCAAAAGTGATGAGGACCTGTCGACACCATCAGCTGCCGTGCTCGTAGGTACTGAAGAAACTACAGCTCTACCATCAGCGGCATCCACAGCTGTAGGCTGTCTCATCCGGAGAGGACGCACGCTGCGAATGTCATCCATCTGAATAGAGGAAGACACGGCACGAAAGACAGCAAACGACAGTTTTCTTATATCACAGTTCGCGGGCGGATCAAGGCCTGAGATGAGTATGTCCGACACAGGCCTCATCCTTTCCGCGTTGATCTTCGCTAGAGAATCAGCCAGTTCCTTCACCGTCTCCTCAACAGAGCTCACCCTGCCCACGACAGCTCCTGACGCTTCAGCTGACGCACCAGCAGACACCGAGACAGAGTTGGCTGAATCCTCCTTCATTTGACGCTCGCTCCCTCAGTGCCCCGACATCAGTCTCTGCAGTGTCCACCCTTTTGGTGGCTAGATCTGCGACAGATTGCTTCAGGCTTCTGATCTCCTCACACTGCTCAGCCACAACAGCCTCAACATCATCAACACGCTTGACCAGGGCTGGAAGCTGGTCCCGAGCTGACAACTTAGCCTTGACTTCACAGAGTTCAGATTGAACGGTATCGAGCTTGGTGGATAAGGCATCAAGGTTCTCAGTGCGCTTGGTGATCACTCCCAGAGACTCAACAATACTGATGAGGGCGGGGTCAGATAGTAAGGGTGACCCACTTTGAAAAACAGCAGCTGGCGGAGGTGGCGGTACCTGGAAGGAGGGGGCAAGTGTCAGAGGACTGAGGGCCCCAGATCGTGATGATGACCCTGAGCCATTGGAACTCGTTGAGTTATTGCGAGTGAGCCTTACTGGAGCGGGAGATGCAATACCCCTAGCGCTGTAGCATGGTTGACATATCCAAATTTTTGACCCATTTTCATTTACGATGATCTGGGTTTTCATGCTAGAGAGTGATGGTGAGTGTCGCAAACACGACAATGCACTATCTTTGAGCCCCCAGTCCGCGCGCATTTGCCACAGGGTACTTTGTCTCCATCCGCCATTTTGTCATTATGAGCTACTTAAACCTGGCCAAACTGTTACTGCGAAGGTTTATCAACAACAGCTTATTCATTTGAATGATGCATTGGAGCAAAAGAGGCCATATACTGGCAGCGAAAGTAGACAAGTGATTCTCCAACATGACACCGCTCGACCGCATGTCGCCAAAGCGACTAAGGATATTATCTGTGAATTAGGATGGGAGGTTCTCCCTCACGCGGCTTACTCGCCTGATCTCGCCCCATCCGACTACCACCTATTTTTATGTCTCTTGAACACTACCTAGCTGATGAGCACTTCAAAACAATCGAGGAGGTCCGAAAAAGCATCGATGAATTTCTTGAGTCAAAACCGCCAAGTTTCTTTCGCGAAGGAATTCGTCAGTTGCCAGTGAGGTGGAGTAAAGTCATCGAAAATACTCGGGAATATTTCGACCGTTAAATGTCTTTTTGTTTTTTTTATAACAAACTCTGATTTTCATTAAAAAAAGCACCTTATTAATTTGTACACCTAATACTATTGTCATGACGGCCGTAGGCAGAGATTCACGGACACAGAGTGAAGCGGAGCGTCCGTGAAACGCTAGCTTATGGCCGGAATGACAAAATAGTATATTTCGTCATTAGGCCGAAAAAAAACTTTTCTGGCGAATATGAGGTTTGTAGCACGAGCCGAAGGCGAGGGCTGCAATCATATTCGTCAGAAAAGTTTTTTTTTGGCCATATGACGAACAATATTTTATGACACTTTGTCTCAAAATCGGTCATTGTTACACTAAGTTGGTCAACAGAATAAGACAAATTCTCTAATTCTTTCAATTAGATTTACATTTCTATAATCTTGCGAATCCATTACGATGGATGATTAGTGCAATAATATTTGTTGTATTATGATTGTGAATCTATTGAACTCTTTTTACATTAGGTAATGGACGAGGCAACCCTTAGTTGGTCAACACGAATAAAAGGCTTCGCAATATGTTTCATTGTTGGAATTCTCCTTTCCTTCCTTGGATCATTTGCACTTTTTCTCCACAAAGGACTTAAAGTTTTCGCCGTATTTTATACATTAGGAAACATAGTCTCCTTAGCAAGGTAAATTACCCTGTAAATAAACTCTGTAAACGGAGAAAAAAATTGGCAAAAAATTACCAAACAAGTCCAGAAATTTGTCCAAAAATTGCAAAATTACGCCAGCTAACGTGAATGATTATTCAATGCCTAGGATTTTTTCCGTAACGGAGAAAGGTTTTTTCCAAATATTGTAGACTATACAGTAAATTTTGCCTCCTGTTGCCAGGAAAAAATACTATATAGGTGCGGAAAATTTTACTGCACAGAGCATCATATTTTTTACATCCACAGATATAATTGTTTTAATAAACAAATCGTGAGATATCCTTCAAAATAGGGTTTTTTGTTAAAAAATATTTCACTCTACGATTAACTTTCATATAGTAAAATTTGTCGAGAATGATTAAGATAATTTTTCCTCAATTTTTCTCTCCACGCCATAGTTGTCAAAATCTCAAAAATCTAGAAGGAAACTTTCGTGATATTTGCTTTTGCCCGAAAAAAGCTCAATTAATCATGACACGTTTTATTGTAGCACGTGTTTCCTCATGGGACCAGTCAATCAGTTAAAAAAAATGTTTGCTGCAACCAGAATTATTGCAACAGTTCTAGTTTTTATGTCCATTACAATGACTTTGTACGCTGCAATTGGAGTAAGTAATTTTTCCTCTAAGTTCCATTAATTAACAGAGACGTAGAAGTTATGGTAACGTTTTTCTTTTTAGTTGGAAAAGGCCGGTCTCGCTCTTTTTTTCATCATAATTCAGTCCTTAGCAATGACATGGTACTCACTATCTTATATTCCCTACGCAAGAGACGCTGTGAAGAAAGCTGTGGAGTCATGCATATCGTAGACATACGGAGGGCTGGAGAACCAATGAAAAACCAATTATTTAGATTGATTTTTATGATTTTTTATATAAGACAATAACTATTATTAAAACTATTGATAATATCTGTTGATAGCATTCATCTGAACATTAGGAATCGTTTGTTACATTTATATCTTTGATGGAACTCATTATAGTATGTTTATATTCATACAATTCTGTGTATCATGAACATACAACTATCGTTAGTATTATAAGGCAGTAAAAAGAGGCACAATATCATCATTTGATATATTATATTTTTTTCTGCACATTGGGCAAGTTACATATATTTTAAAAGAATCATTTACGATGTTGAAAAAGTAGAACTAAAACTGGAAAATTCTGTAATCTGTGCCTTACGTCACCACTTAGACTGTGAATGCAAGCGATGAAAATTCATTTCATCATTAGCATCGAATTACGAGCATAAATGATACCTATTAATGTATATTCGAGTCAGGTATTTATCACAACAGTTTTACATCACTGTAGTATTAACTAATTCAGAAAATATAATTATTTAGTTACTTTCTATCAATATTTGAATACTTAGATTTTCTTTGAAAGGCATTAGTAATGAGAAGAATCATTATTTTTATAAATAAGGATGATGGGGAATGAAATAAATGAGAATGATTGCTCCATTTAAGAAAACAGAACTGTCTTCTCACTGTTTCTTTAACTTTTTGTCTTTATAGAAGAAAAAGTGAAGAGGACAACTTGAAAAAAATTAGAATATCCGAGATTGAGTCATGCCAGCTCAGTCCTACCGTCACGCTCATTCAGTTGACAGCCTTCATTAGATTTTCAAGAATATGAAAATGATTTTTGTAAAAAGTTTTTTTTTATAAGTCACACAATTTCCTGAGGAAAAGCCTCTTGACTTCTTCCAGGAAACCGCCGTCTAGTAATGTCTTCCCTGTTTTCAGGATTGGGCATATCCCACAAATGAAAGTTTTAGATGCGATATGCCCAAGTACCGGCAATTCACCTCTGAAGCGTTAAAAATGTCAAAAAATATCAGAAACCTATATACAGGGGGATTGAGCTAAAAAAGCACAAGGATCAAAAGTGAGCGGTACACAGGCTGGACAATCACAAGGATCATCAGACGATCACGGGGGTCATACTTCGCGAAATTCAAACGGAGCAAGTGGAAGAAACAAGTAGGATATGCACAAGGGTCAAACGGGAGAATTAGACCAGAATGCCCTTGTGATTTTTTGGTTGTCTCTCCCGTAGGCGAGGAATACATAAAGAGAGATTATCCAAAGGCTCCCAAAGGATCCCATTTGGCCCTTATGGTTGTTTGAACCTTGAAATCATCCAGCCTTTGTGAACCTTTGACACTTGGTGAGTTATGGTCATTGACATAATCACGTTTCCGCATTATGTCAACGAAAAAAAAGTCGATTACTCCCATATGATTTATCTAAAGTCATTTACTTGTCGAACCCTGCCTGTACCCCACAGGAATCTGTAAAGATGAATAGGTGAGATACCATAATATGCGGCAATGGGTTGAAGAAATTTCAGTTATAAAAAATATTCGTGGAACTGTATTCTACGAAATTTATGAGTGATATACCAGGAAATGTCATAGAAAATGATGATGCTAATAGAACAGTGAGACAAGTAACTTCCAACCCTAAACAAACAAAACAAATGTTTGAGTTTTGAGGCTTTCGCGGCCAATATTATTATTCATTATGAAAACCTGAATCTAGACGCGGCATCCATCCGGAAGCCATCATAATGAATAAAAACAAATGTTTTTGTAGGAAAACAGCCGCGCCAAAAAAAGTTTTGTTTGGTTTATACTGGGAAGTACAAATTTTTGAACAAAAAAAAGAAATGAAAAAGAAAACCAAGTCAGAAATGTCGAATGAGTGGTCATTGTACCCAATCAAATTCCTATGAGAAAAATAGTTTCAAATTGAATGAGGATTGAAAAAAAATTCCGTATAAAATGAACAAGTGGGAAATTGCTCTTGTATTGCATATAGTATAATTATTTTTGCTAAAAAAATAGCAATATGCTTCACATTATTTCTTTCTATCATGTATAGTTCATTATAAACGAGAATGATACGGCGTTTTATTTCATTTTATTCAATTGGATAAGATTTCTTTTCAATTAATTTTGTCAGATTTTCAACTTAGTTGAATATTATCATCATCAAAGCTAAAAATCTAAAATGAAATAATTGGCATTGTTTCGGAGCATATCTGATGGGCGAAATTTCAGCTCAATCGCTCAAGTAGTTTTAAAGATGCAGCAATTTCTCAAAAATCTTGTTTTGCTCAATATCATCAAAATGATGATATGATTTGCTCATCAAAATATGTATACCTGTTCATACAAAGCTTTCGAGATATTCGCGTTTTTTTAATTTTTTCATCTCAGAGTTGATTTAACGTTCCACAATACACGTAGAAGTTCGAAATAGAATTCAACATTTTGGGTACTAGCTAATACTATTGAGTTATACTAGTGTATGAAATTTTGGGCTAATCAATTTTGTTATAGAGTTATTTATCTGAGAGTACTTTTTGTCAAAAAATGAAACATTGCCATTCTATCAATGATTTTCGAATCTGCATGACTTAAAAAGTCATCTACCAGAAAATTATGTTCTTTCTTTTTCATTCCTTTATGCATGATCATGTTCAGAAAAAATGAAAATAGCAAGTTGAAGTTTAGTATGATTACAGATTTTATAATATTGAAGGTTGGTATTTTGAATAGGCGCAATCGGCCTAGCAGTTTTGAAGATATATTAAACTTTTTGTATAAATCTATTTCATTAAAAGGCTGAATATCTTTCTGTAGACACCCTGTAGCATGCGGTTACGGTTGTATGCCTACCATAAGGACAGGGAATTGTTGCGGATACATTCGCAACAATGAATTTGAGAGAAACAAAAAAAAATGAAAAGGACTAATAACGCAGCAGTGAACGGTAACATGCCTTTTGTCGGATAGACTAGAACCTCTGCTTGTTTTTTTTTCTATTCCGTAGTACCATCTTTCAGACCACCAACAAATTATATAATTCTTCAAACTTACAATATTTCAATTTTTCTTTTGAAAGGGGAAAAATATTCATAAAGCACAATTAATAAGATTTTTCTCATTAATATTTCTTTTTTCCTTAAAAATTTATTGACTTCTGAAAGATGGATATATTCTGTTGATTGTGTTTATTTAAAAAAATCGGTTTGAATAAAGATATAGATTTTGTAAAAAACTTTGGTTTCGAGTTATCTTATGAGCATGATAGAGATGTGTATATGAATGTTTAAAAACTGGAACAAAAAATGAGGCCCCAGTGCGACAATTGTTGTACAGTAGACTCTGGTTAGAGTCGACTGTTTTGCGGGATAGGGGAAGCGAATTCGGAGAATTCGACTCTATTTCCCTGCCCCCACTACGCGCTCACGCCGAGCCCGACTTCCGAGAAAACTGAGAACGATAAAATGAAAAATACTATTTCTTTTCTCTCAGTTCAACACTTTATTTTAATGATAAACTTTAGTTCACAGTTTCAACTATAATAGCAATATTCATATAGATTCAGACGATTTTTTTATTATCAATATTTTTAATTTCATTGACTATATTTGATCACAGAAGCTTTGTACCTAACATTCCATAGAACAGATATTTCTTCTGGAGTTAACGAACCATGTGAATCAAAAATGTTACAGTCGTTTTCTTTACCTCCCTTCATTATTTTATTTAATCCAATTTCGAATTAATTTTATGCCAACAAAACGAGATCCTCCCCCCATAACAGCCAGAAGTGGACTAAATTTTTTGATCGACAATTCAAATGCAGAATATTTTATTTTTCGTCTTTACTGGAATCGGAAGACAATAGCAATTTGAAGAAAATATTGGAGTGTTTACTCTCCGGCTTGCGTGGGGACAGAGTGGGGGAAGCGCTCGAGCCGCGAGACAAAAAAATTGAGAAGTTCGACACTAACCAATATGCCTCTAACCAGAGTCCACTGTAGTTCAATTCTGTGCGTCAATTTCAGGTACATTAAGACCAGGAAGTATTAAAATACCAAGCGAATCTGAAAAAAAATGGAGATCTAAAACAATACTTTAACAAAGATATATTCTATGAGACAGAAATCAACCAACATAATATTGGAGATTATTACGTTTTTGTACTTTGAAATTATTCTGTGTGAATAGATGTACATTACCAGTAGAGAGAATTTCAGGAGCCATGTCACACATTGGATTCTGACGTCTTAGATCTTTCCCAAATAATGTAGGAACTGCAACATGTTTAAGCCATGTTACATCGTAACACCTGCGAAGGTCTGCTGCCGCATTCACATGCTGGCGACAAGCGGCGGCGGCACGTTACGGGCGCCGTTGTCGCTGGTATGTGCCCGCGCTGACGGTTATAGGTAGGCGGCAAATGGTGGCAGCACCTTGTCGCACGACGGGGGGACGCACGCCGACGGACGCTATGCAGTGATGCCCGATGAGGGGAAAAATCCCACGCGTGGGAATTTCGTGCGCAGCTCCCTCGCGCGCTCCTCGGGTCCCCGCCACTACCGCACAGGCTCAACGCCCGTAAATAATACCCGATAAATTAAAATCCGCGATGGAACTCTCAATTAGTTAATTAAAACGAATAAAATTGACGGTATTATTATTTTTTTCAACATTTTAGTTATTAATAATATTTAATAACAATGGAGAGCTCAGTTTACTGTTAAAAATTCTTTAAAAATTGAGCAAAAGGTTGATAAAAATATTGAAAGTGAATTTGAAATCGGTTTGGGATCAATTCGTCTATGAAATTGCTTATCCTACTGCGAAATTGCATTTTTCTATTCATTTTCAAAATTCTGTTTTATTTTTTATTAGATTTTTTATTATATTTCAGGGACTTTAAGATTTAATAAGAAAGTTTCCTAAGTTTTAATAGTGTTTAAGCATTTTCGTCGTTATAACGACCGGAAAATTGCAATTCCATTAAATATTTTATAATTTTTTTCAATTTTCAATCCCACAATATTTATCATTTGTACATAGAAAAGGAAATATTCGAAATTTCAGAATTTATTCTCAGAAATACGTCATGAGGGTTAAAAGTCATGAAAGGGAGGATCAAATGCCGTAAGATTCACAAGGGTAAGGGTGAAACACTGCGAGGGTAACAACAGGAAAATCCAATTTCCCGCAAATCGCGGGTGCAATCGTCTCCAGTACAAGAGAATACATTTTGCAAATATAACAAGATTCATTAGCTTTATTAAATTTTCCACGTTTATCATTTTGTGGCCCTGAAAAGGGCCGGTGGTTTCTGAAAATAACCATTTCTGGGTTCTGAAAAGAACCATTTCTGGGTTCTGAAAAGAACCATTTTTGTGTTCTGGAGAGCTGAAGAAGGGCTGTAAAANCAGGGTATTACAAGAGTTGAAAGAATTCATTGTATATTAAAAAAAAAGGAAATAAGCCTTGACACATTGATCATCTAATAATTCGTACAACTTCTGTGCTGAAGGTGACTGTTCTTCCAGCATTG